AGGCCAAAGGAGGGAGAGGAGAGCGGATGAAGGGGAGCTTCCCAGGCTGTGGAGTCCAGGAGCTGCCATTGCACAGTCCTCAGGCAGGGTGTGAAGGATGAGGTCAGGAGGTTTTGGTCACATGACAGAGGGGCTCGCTAACTGGGAGAAACTAGACGGCTGGCCCCAGGCCACACTGCAGCTCCACTGCTAAGGTGACAGTGGGTGCCAGAGCAGCTGTGGCTGCCACTTTGTCACTTCTGAGCAAGGGAGATGGGACAGGTGACTGACTGCTCGCTAAGGGCAGCTGAGGCACAAGGCAGCGCCGTCAGCAAGTGTACAGTGAACGCGCGTTGAGGGCCGTCTGTCCTTGGGCCTGGCTATGCCGTTCACAGTGTCCTTGGGCTGGTCCTCGCAACAGTCATGGGAAGTGGACTGTGCCGGGGGAGAATGACCTCACTGAGAGAAAGAAACAGTCCCAAGCTGCCACGGCCAGGGAGAGGAAGCTAGGGCTTGAACCTGGGACACGTGACCCTACAGTCACAATCACTATCCTGTGCTGCCGCCTTCCTCATGCAGGGGACTCCCTGGGCAGGGTGCTACCTACAGGCCCGGAAAGATGGACTCCTCCAACCCTGGCTTTGACAAACACCAGTGTAGACAGGATCACCTTTTAAAACCCACCGTTGACCACACCATGGCTCCACGGCAAAGCGTCAGTGTTCTTAGTGTGCTTTAGAAACTAACGCAGCCCTGTGGCCACACGGGCGGACCCAGGCCTCCTCTCCAGTCTCGTCTCACACAGTGCCCTCGCACACTCGGCGCAATGGCCTTGCTGGGCTTCGCATATTTACTCTGCTCCAACCAACCACAGGGCCTTTGCACGGTTGCTCCTGCTAAAGGAAACGAAGGCATCTCCCACTTTCTCTAACAAACTCGTCTTCCCTACCGCTTCTCCACAAAGCTTGTGTCGGGCTTTCCCATCAGGGGACAATTCACTGTGCTGCCAGCCCCAGGAAGGAGGAGCCGGGTCTACAATCCTTAGTACGCAGATGGTAACGGGCACAGAGGGAGAGCCTGACAAATGTCTACTAAATAGAGAGATGTGACCCTGGCCACCGTCAGTGGGGAGCTGAGATGTCAGGGAACTCTGCAGGGAGGGACCCCGCGGAAGTGGGCAGCAAGGCTGGGGGGACTCACATGGTGGATAGGGAGACGAGCGTGGTGAAGGCCCCGGGGGTGATGGTGGTGATCCGGTTGTCATAGAGCGACAGCAGTCTCACAGAGCTCAGGCCAGCGAAGGTGTCATTGTTGACACAGCTGATCAGGTTGCTCCTCAACATCCTGGAAGAGGGCAGGAGAGGATCATGGGTAGTGTTCTTGCCTCTCAGAAGGTGAACGGCCATCTCCCGGCTCAGCCAGTCACACTGCTCAGGTTTGTCTGGTGATGAGCAGGACCTGAATTCTCACTGGGGCAAACACAGGTGTCTATGAATGTGTACTTCACACACTGTGGTGGTGGTTTGAGTGAGAATGGCCCCCACAGGCTCCTATGTTCGAATGCTTGGTTCCTAATTTGTGGAACTGTTTGGGAAGGATCAAGAGGGTGGTCATGTTGGAGGAGGTGTGTCACTGGGGAGGGTGGGCTTTGAGGTTCCAGAGGGCCATGTCATTCCAGTTGACTCTCTCTGCCTCTCTCTTTCTGCCTCACACTTGTGGATCAGATGGAAGCTCCCAGCTCTGGCTCCAGGGGCACAAACTCTTTCTCTGAAACCATAAGCAAGTCCCATGCTTTCTTTCATCAGCTGCCTTGGTCATGGTGTCTCTTCACAACAATAGAAAAGTAACTGAGTCACACTGTAAACACAAACCACGGCTATCCATGTGCACTGGGACAGATGTTGTGGTTGTCAGTGTGCACATGTACGTTCAGGAGGAAGCGGACCCATATTCAGGTTCAGCGTATGTGTATGTGCTGGACCGTGGATGCTTGCTTGTAGATGTATTTAGGGGGCACAGCATGTGTTTCTGTGTGTGTGAATAATGGGAACGTGAGTGTGTGTGTGCATCCCTCAGCATGTATGTTTCTGGTATGAGTAGGCACATGATTGCATTAGGGTGGCTCTGAGTGGGATATGCTTAGGTGTGTGGACATGCTGGTGGGCTCAGCATGTCAGCTTCTTTGCATTAAAGGTGGAAAAGTGTGATGCTGTGGGGAAGAAGGAACCCACATGCCAGGACGGTGCCTGACTCGGCTCCCTGTCCACAGCCTTCACAGTCCAGCTCTCATTCCCCTGCCTCCTGCCTCCCTGCTCTGGACCTGAGCCCAGGTCTGGGTACTCACAGTGTCTTGAGGCCACTGAGGCCCCGGAACATGCGCCCATGCATGGTCTCTAGCTGGTTCCCTGTCAGCATCAGCTCCTGCACGCCGGCTGCTCCATCGAAGGCACCCTCTCGCACCTCCTTGATCCTATTGTTGCTCAGGTTTCTAGAAGGAGTGGGTAGAAACAGGAGAAGGGTCAGGGGGGTGGCCGAGCTCAGCCTCCAGCTCCCTGACACTGGGTTCTCAGCATCTGTGCTCTGGGACAGAGAGGCACTCCTCCTGACAGGTGGAGTAACGCAGAGTCCAGGACTTAAAGCGTTTTCAATGTAATCATTTTTTGAATGCTCTGGAAGATTCGCTCTTATTTCTTCCCTTCACCAAGGGCTTCCATAGAGCAGTGGTCCTCAAAGGAGGGATGGAGAAAAACATACAGTAGCCCCCCAGTGGGGGTGAAGACATCTGAGGGGCTTATAGGTCTCTCAGTAGGAGCCCTTACAAGCGGATGGACACTTACTTAGTACTCATTGCAGATTTTCTTTTTAGGAGAGGCCAACCACCATTGACCTCATCAAACCCTCGAACAACACCTGATAGGTACCTCTGTCCAATGTTATGGATGAGGACACTGGGTTCCAGTGTCCACAGCATGGGGGACCATGCTAGAATAGTGACAACAGGCAGATACTGCACAGCCATGGAAAATTCTAGTTCTCATGGTTCTTTCAGGAGCCAGAAGCAGGGATTCTCTAGACCATCCTGTGGCCCAGGCTGAAAGCACTCATGGTTTTCTGGGTAAAACAAAGCCTGATGGTGCTCATACTGTAGACGGGAAACTCTGAGGATGCCACTGACTCACTGAGCATGTGAGGTTGTCTGAACTGCGGGGCTCGCTCGCAGACACTGGCCATAGGCCCAAACCTCTTGGTGGGGGTGGAGACTGTTTTATGCCAAGGCCTTGGATGGATATGGGGCCATACCGACCCTTTCACAGAGCACAGGGATGAAGCCTCCCAGAAGGACAGGGGACCAATTTGAAGCACATGATGAAATAATGGTACCCAAGGGCTCAATGTAAGACATTTTTCCTTTCCCACGGGTGGCCTGGGCACCCAGGGAACAGTAGTGCCTACCCCTGGAGATAGCTGTGGAGGAGACAAACTCTAGTTGGTCCATTTTTAGAATCATCTTCTCTTTGTTTTTACTCTGTTCCCCAACCCCTTCCTCTACTGTTAACACCCCCCCCCCAAAGTCCCTCCCTTAAAGCTTGTTAGCTGGGGCACTCCTGAACTGGGATCCATTTCTGTGATAAACTGGTACGCAGCCTGTTTCCTTATCAATTCCTATAGTCTTGGTCAGGAATAAGCCAGGAACAGAGGGAATGCATGGGGGAGACCGCATAGGACCCCTAAACTAGATTAGGAATTGAGGTCAAGGCTTTCCTAAAAGGGTTAGGCGCCAGGGTGAGGGGTTGTTTGAGGATTAGCATGCAGGACTGGACAATGAAGACGAGTCAGAGCTGTGGAGGTGGTGGGGTGGTGCCCATTCCCTGACATCTGCTTCTTCAACAGAGCAAAATTAACATCCCATTTCTGTAAGGTTTGCGAATTGCATTTCCTTAGTCTGGGAGAATGAAAAACAGAAGTAGGGCGGGAGAGATGGGCAGTTGTAGTATTTTCTAGAAGAGCTGGCTGCTGTTCCCTCCCTATCCATCAAAGCTGGGCTTCCCACTTTGTAGTGGGGGATGGGGGCAAAGTGTAGCTTGGAGCAAATATTCTAGAGAATGCGTGTATCTGGATTTTCTTTTCTTTTCTTTTTAAAGATTTATTTATTTATTATGTACACAGTGTTCTGCCTGCATGTATGCATGCAGGCCAGAAGAGGGCACCAGATCTCACTATAGATGGTTGTGAGCCACCATGTGGTTGCTGGGAATTGAACTCAGGACCTCTGGGAGAGCAGCCAGTGCTCTTAACCTTTGAGCCATCTCTCCAGCCCCGTATCTGGATGTTCTAAGAGCTCTGACGTAGTCGCAATGAAGTGCCTCCCTGGGACACTACTGCTCCCAGGAGGCCTCGAAACATAGATGTAGTCAGCTAGTGTAGAGAGCTAGCTCTCTCCGTCTCCACAGACCTATCCAGAGAAAGGTGCTTCTCTGTGGCTCTAACGGCCCAGCCTCAGAAAGGCATGCTGGACCCCAGGGGTGGTTCAGAGGGCTCACGTGTACTGCCTCTGCAGGCTGCTGTGTGCCCGACTCCGTTTTCCCCAAAGAACAGAGAGGCACACAGGGGATTCATGCAACTCCCAGCCTGAGCCCAGGGAGAGGAGGCCACAGCTCTGAACGTGGAGTCTCTTTCTCTTTCCCTTCCCCACCTCCTGTCTTTCTACACGCCCCCTCCTCCCCAATCTCTCTGTGCTAGGGGTGGTACTCAGGGCCTCAAGCAAGCTAGGCAAGTGTCCCACACTGAGCAGTTCATGGTCATGATGCCCTTTGAGAAGCTGTGTGGAGCCGCTCTAGTGTAAAGGCCAGAGATGCAGGAAGCACAGCAAGGTCCCATCACCTCTGCTCGAATCAGAAATGTTAGATTCGGACCCAGGCAGCCTTAGGGGCCTGGCCCAAGTGTAAGGCAGCTCGGCAGGGCTACATCACTGGCTTCAGCCACTGTACCGTCAGATATCCTGACCCACAACACTGCTGTGGGGGAGTAGGGCAGTGAATGGTCCAGAGCACAAGAACTCGTCACTTGGCAGTGGGCTGCAGCTGGTGGTCTGGGGCTGGATTCACCCTGTGGGGTCTTAGTTGGTTGGTAATGATGAGTGTGTGGATACACACACACACACACACACACACACACACACACACACACACACACGGACATACACACACACAGACACACCACATGGGGATACACATATATGGACATACACACGGACACATGGACACACACACACACACACACACACACACGGACATACACAGACACATGGATATACACATGGACACACACAGACACACACATGGGGATACACACACATGGACATACACATGGACACACGGACATACATACACAGACATACACAAACACATGGATACATACAGAGACACATATACATGGATACACACATGGACACACACACAGGCACACACACATGGGGATACACACATGGACATACACACGAACACACACACACACATATGGATGGACATATACCAACACATGGACACACACACATATACATGGATACACACATGGACATACCACATAGATACACACACACACACACACACACACACACACGGGCACACACACACACGGACACACACACACGGGCACACACATGGGGACATACACCCAGAGATATGGATACATGCACAGACTGCTCCCTGCTTGAGTTTTAAACTCGGACAAGTTACTTAACATTTTGTGTCTCTGCTTCCTCATGTATGGAACAGAGCAATCCCAAAGCCTTTGGTTTTGCTTGGTGAGGGCAACATTAAATAAACACTAGAACTTTCTGGCACAGAGAGAACAGCAAGTGTTAACTGCGGGCTATTGTTGGTTCTGTTACCATCATGGTCATCAGAGCCTTCCCAGCCACGTCCCACCTTTGCCCTACTCCCAGGGCTCCCCAAAGTGTCTGTGCAGAACTGCTGTTTATGTATGTAAATGGATACTTCAGGCTGCTTGACCCAGATGTCTGGCACTGGATCAGACATCTTCTCTTGCCAACACCTTGGCTAGGCCTCACCTTTCATCCTTATTTCTTCTGATTTGTTTGTACAGTATCGGGGATTGAACCTGGGGTCTTGTGCATACTAGGCAGGCACCCCTCCTCTGAGCAGCACCTTGTCACATGTTTATTTCTACCCCTCCTCATCATTCACAGGAATAATGAATTTATTCTCACTATGCAAATGATGAAACTAAGTACCCCCCCCCCCAGCCCAAGGGTCTCCTAGGACCACACAGTGGACAAGAGCAGAGCTGAGCTTAGGTGACTGCAGGCCAGCCTGCAGCTTCCGCCCCACACCTGAATGTTTAGCTGGCCTGGAGCAGTGGCAGATATTCAGCAGCCCCAACCTCCACTCCTGCATGGCAAACATAGGGACTGGCTGAGTGGCATCTGCTCTTTCGGTTGAGATCTGAGCTTGCATTTGGCCAGGCTCACGTCTGCTGCACGTGGCTGAGGAGGGGGACCAGCTGCCTCCTGTAACACATTCGTATTCTTGTTTCCCTTAGCCTACAGCAGTATCTCCCTGTGCTCACATCCCCACCGCAAGTGGGAACACAATCTGTGTGACTTTCACCTAAAAGGCGTGTACGGGGACAGTGTCTACTTTGCAGAAGCAGAGACTCCTGGGATCCCGTTTGCTGGGCAAACAGGTACTTGTGCAGCTTGACTCATTTCAATACCTTCCTCACGTCCATATTCACCTCCACATCTGTCTGGAGGTTGAAACCAAAGCGCACTTTTTTCTGGTCAGAAACGGAAAGGACACGTCTAAGTGGTTGCTAATTGTGCTGGGTCCCACAAGCTCACAGGTGCTGGGCCACAGTGACAGCCTTACCACCAACCTTCCATGTGCCCTGGTCACAGAGGGCTAGCTCATCTCCTGCTCCAGACAGGCATTTATTTACAGGGCCCTTTGGGTAAGGCAGTGGTTGTAGTCAGCAGGGACTCGTAAGTGCTGCTGCTGAGAGACAGTTGCATAGGACCTAGGAGGTGTCTGTTCCCTTGGCTGCGGGGTACTGATGGGTAGAAGTCTGATGAACAGGAAATGAGGAGTTACGGACAATCCTCATGATTCATGGTCCTTCTATTCTGTATCACCAGGAACACTGAATGAGCACACACTGAATCACTGCTCCCGGGGAAACTAGACGAGGCTCCTGTGAGCCCCTGGTCATGGCATTTCCATCAACCGATCAATAATAAGCTTGTTCTGTGAGTGTTTCTGCTCAGACACTGTATTTACTATGCTATCGATCCATCAACATCGTACTCATGGCCAGCAGTGCTGGGCTCATGCCTGAACAAACGCACAAGGCTTCTCCACAGCCGTGTGTGCCCTCAGTGAGGCACAGCGCAGGCCTCTCAGACTTTGGGTATCTAGACAGTGTGCCAGCACCGCGCTTGGGCCAAAGTTGGCACTAAAAAGCACAAAACTGCAAAGCACATGCTATTTGATAAACCGTAAAGTGGATACTGGCTTACAGTGTGAGAGCTGGACCCGGAAGGCAGAGCATCCCCATCCCCATGTTCGGCCTCAGCTGGGAATGTGTGGCCCAGTCAAGGAACACATGTTGGGGTGAGTGGGTCTTTCACTACCATATGTATGTAAATGACACAAACAGCTTGAAAAAATTGTGATTTTAGAGTTGCATGAATTTTGGTACAAAGATGAGTTAGTACATATAGAATTGGTAAGTAACAGTGGACCACATTGCCTTGTTGAAGAAACAGACACCACTGTGAGGCGGGGAGATATGGGGTATGGGGTGGGGTAGGAAGGACGGTTAAAGACAAGTGTGCCCTGGGAGTCAGAGGGTGGGAAGCCCACCTCTTTGTGCTGGCACCTCTGCAGAGACAGAAGGGGTGAGGCGGGAAACAAGCCTGACTTTACACTGGTATGACCGAGGTGAACCCAGGTCTGAGAGCCAGTTTTGACGTGTATTCAATGTGTGGCCTTAGAGAGGCCATTGAACTTCTCTGAGCTATGGCTCCCTCACCTGCCCAGAACAGAACCTGATGCCAGCACAAGATGGCTGAAGGAAGACTAAAGAGAGTGATATCCGTGAGGTGGGCATGCAGCCCTGGTCAAGGTCAAGGGCTATCACGGCGGCAACATCCTTCTTGCTGTCTTTATGACTTGGCCCCAACTCCTACGAAGGGAGAGAGGGTCGGGACAACACGTAGCCATGCACTACAGAAGCCAGTAACAGCATGTGGGTCCTTTGCCCAGACTCTACTCAGACCAGCAGACTCTGTGACCAAAGCTACTGAGAGCAGCTGGGGATTCCTTTCTGGTGCGCCCCTCCATTGCAGACCTCGCCTAAATGCCAAGTACCACAGGGTCCCAGACACCCCTACTGCATTGCTGTTCCAGGTCCACGTCCCCCCTCCACCTTCTGAGGTAGATGCTGGATGTGGGCTGGGAGCAGAGACAAGTAGAGGGAACAGGGGAAGGGAGACAAGGAGGTGTGGAACGTACGATCCACCTGATGTGGGACAACTCAATGATAGCCGCACTTCATGCTGGTCAGTGCTGTGCCCCTGGTGTCCAGTCCCGGAAACAGCAGGGGGCAGGGGGAGGCTCAGGGGCAGGAGTGAAGGGTGAGGGGCAGGAAGCCGAGGTGGCTGCTGGGCCCCCCAACTTGACTTACATTTTTCGCAGGTTGGGCAGCTTCTTGAAGATCCCAGTGGCCTCCAGGACAGAGATGTCATTGTCATTCAGCCGCCTACATGGGAAGCCAGAAGAAGCAGGGCTTAGCTAGGGGGAGGCACCTCCTTGGCTACCAGTCTTCCTCACACGCGGCTCTGGTTGAGCTCTGCCTGTAACTTCACGGTCAGTAAAGTTCAAGAGAATCACGAAAGACTTCGGCATGAGGCGAGGGGCTCGGCAGGGAGAGGTGGATGGGGAAACAAAGAAAGACACTAAGTCTGAGCCCTCTGATGCCTCCTTCATAGGGCAGTGGCTTCTTGCATACACTCCATTGTTCTCTAAACACACAGACAAATGACAAGTACCTGGCTCCATTTTAGGGGGGTACCGATGGTAACCCAAGCTCCCAGGGAAGTTTCCTCAGGATCACCTGAGCCCAACTTGCTCATCTCTTCCTGACCACTTCTGTCTTCCAAGGGGGCTCAGGGTCCCTGCACCCAGCATCTCTGTGCTCAGAGCCTTGCTGTGCCCTCCAGTGACTACAGAAGTCAAGGAGAGCAACACCAGCTACAAGTCTGCCCCTGTGTATCCAGGGCTCACTCTGCGCCAAGAGTCAAGAGGAATATTGTGCTTGCGTCTCTTTCTAGACCTTCTGAAGTGTAAAGGGAGACACCATCTCCCTCAGCCTCCCCCCAGTCCCTGTTACAGCTTGGAAACTGGGCTTCAGATCTGAGAGGCAGCTTGGCCAGTCTCAGGGAGGCTGGAGGGAACAGAGGTGAGGTAAATGTCAGGTCTGTTTAGCCCCACAGGCCATCCTTTATCCTCTACCACGCTTCAAGTTTTAGTCTGTCCCTTTTTAGACCTTGAGAGATTGTTTGGGGGTTCTATCAGGGAAGGTCATCCTCTGGAGCCAAGTGTGCCACTTCTGGGGGTACGCACACAGAGCAGTGAAGGAGGGTGGGGACACCCACCTAGCTGGCCAGATTGGCAGAATCAACCCTGGTGATCAGTGGGGTGACAGATGTTGCAGCCAGATTGTCCTCACACCCTTGTCCAGTTTTGGACAAATCAATGTCCCTTTCTAGGATGGCTATTAGGCGGCTCAGATATATTTAATCATCTTAGTTGTATTTTTGCCCAGTAACAATTTTTATCTAATATCAATTTTTTCTGGTGATACTGTAAGTTCCGAAGGGCCAGCAGGTGCCACTTGCTTTGTTCACTGTAGAAATGTAAGCCTAGAGCAGTGCCTGCTTTATGGTAAGTGTTCAGAAAACATTCATAGAGCCAACGAGTGGTCTTTATTGGCAAACAACCTGCCCATGTATAGACAGGTGTCTTTCTCAGCCAAGTACACAGAAGGCCCCACTCGAGTTAACTCCAAGTGTCTAGGTATGTGTAAAGAGACGTAGAGAGGGGTGGGGTCTTCTCAAGACGGTGGGACTTACAGGTCAGTGGTGTATTCAGGGAGGTGGCTCGGGATGCGGGCCAGCTTCTGGTTGGAGCAGTCCACAATGGTACCCTCACAGCGGCACTTCTCAGGGCACACGAGGTCCATGAAACACTCACTGCTGAATCTGTTGCGATAATCCTCAGAGCCTATGTGGGGCCAAAGAGGGGGTTGTCATCATCATTTGGGTTTCCTGGCACAAGGTCTAATGTTGTGGGGAGTGGAGGTGGGGAGGTAGAGGTAGGTGTAGGTGTGTGTGTGTGTGTGTGTGTGTGTGTGTGTATGCAGGCTTGGGAGAAACTGCTGATATGGTGAGATATCGAATAGCAGGCAATATTGATAACCATTTGGCCATCTTGCTAGCCACACCCCTCATCTACCTTGTTTCCCACATGGTCTTTTGTCATTCATCACTTTCTGTCTTCCTTGAGAAGCAAGGCTTCAGATCTGTGGGCTCTTATGCATTTATGGGTCATGGACCTTTAGAGAAGCTGCCTAATGTTACAGATGCTCTGTTCAGAGAAATACCACAAGGCACCTACATAGAATCCAGCCTATAGGTGTAGGAGATTCCTGGCTCCATGATGCTTACCATCTATAAACTGGACATTAAGATCGGACTTTTGTGGGGGCTACTGGAGGGTAGGACAAAGGTATAAGAAGAGGGTCACATACTTAGAGGTCTTCCTGGGCTTGCAGGCAATGTGTGAGGGAGGCCAGATACTCATTTGGTGCTAAATGACAAGCAGCATCTTGCTGCCTGACTTCAGTGAGGATGTTGGAGTACTAGGGTATCTGGAGCCCACAGCTCTGATGCTTTGGGAATCTGGCTTACAGCTGCCTGAGAAGTCTTCGTCTTATTGTTTTAAGAGAAGTCAGATATTTAAAATATATTGGCAATGAATCCAATTCTCAAACACAGTGAAAACAAAATGCATCTGAGGGTCGGACCTGACTTCCGCATAGAGAGGAAGTTCTCTTTAATGCCGGTAAAAGGCTAGTTCCCATGAGCTAGAAGTTGGAGCTAAGATTTATTTTTTTTCAAAATTTCATTTCTTTCAAGGTCATTTGAAACAGGCCTGACAGTCTGATGTCTCTGAGACATGCCCTTGGGGGCAGTCAGACAGACCTCTGTGAGCACGTGAATTATGCCAGTGGCAATGGGGAGGGGCGTGCGGCTCTCCTGACGTGAGCCGGTTGTGCTGGGGCGCATTCCCGCTCTCACACCCACATTTCACTAGTGCCTTGCTAGGTATAAAATGTGAGCTCCGCTCATGTTCATCTAAGGCACAAGTGGAGTGCCCCCAGCACCTGAGGGTCCTGTGTGTATTTCTGAAGTGTTTGAGTCCATGCACACCGGGTGCTTGGGGAATGGCCTGAAGCATTAGCACAGCGACATGGAGCGCGATTAGTTTCTAGGTTGCAGCAGTGCCCTTGGCCAGGCTCCGCAACCTCCTAGCTCCTATTCCCCAGGGGTCTGTGTGAAGGTGAGATTACACCAGAGGCGGAGTCTCCAGGAAAAGGCCAGCACGGGATGGACACGTGTGAGCCTACTCTCGCGCTTCCTAGATCTTGACAGAACGTCTGGTATTTGGAGGCCACAGAAACGCCACTGGAGCTGATGGTAGCAGCCGACAGTTCTGCACTTGAACCAGCAGCCAGCTGCTTTTCTCCAAACTTCAAATGGGTGGTTCCTCTTAACCCCTGGGGTTAGAACTTCCCTTTGTAGAAGACGACCCTAAGGTCTACGAGGTGGGGTGGGTGGGGGGCTTGGGGGGTGGGTTGCGGTGCCTGGTGAATAGACTAGGGCTGGCTCTCAGAGACCCACGTGACTAATGCTAAGTAGGCTTTAGTGTGCTTTGAGACTGAACCTTTCTCCCCACGTCTCTAGCAACAGCCACAAGGTCCGATGAGGTGGAGGCAGACGGAGTGGGTTTCTCCTCAGTGAGCTATGACAAAGAAGGGAGCCAACGCCCGCCCGCCCGCCCGCCGGCCTCCCTCCCTTACTCTTGCACGCTCTGCTCTGGTTTATCCTCCCGTGGTCACTGCTGACTGGGAACAAAATCCATGGACCTCTCATTCTCAAGTGACACTGCCTGAAGCAAGGAGTCAGAAGACTGTGTATTCCTTGTTCCTCTCTGCTGTCCCACCCACTTCCTTCATCTCCCTTTGCCCCCCCCACCCCGCCCCCGACTTGTATGAACACAACTTATGCACCTATTTCACAGTTTTACCGCAGCTTCCTGGCACACTGTTTTACGTAAATCTTTTTCCTGGCCTGCACGCATTGTCCCACCGAATAAACCCTGAGTCTGCACCATTTCTCTTTAGACACATCTGAGAGCTAGGTTATTCTGCAGCTCTTGCCAAATGCAAACTCAGAATTCGGTCCTTGTCAGGGAAGGTACATGGTGGTGTTGTAAGGGGGCATTCTGCACGTGTATGGCTGTGTTCCCTTCAGGACATGTCTGTAATGGGATACCCGCAAAACAGTGGAACCCTGACTCCTGATCAAAGGCAGAAAGACAGGAGCGAGCCCAGACTGCACTTCCTGTGAGCCGACTGAACGTGCACTGGCTGGGGACGGCCGCCTATTAAATGCATTTTCGTTTTAATCAAGGTGAGAGCAGTCTGTAGTTAGCAGGAATCGCTCTCAGTAGTATCGTTGGGTTATAACTGGCAGACCTCTGCAGTGGAGCTGCTGACCCATTTTAATGAAATGATTTTGCAATTAGATTCGATGGACTAATGTGTTCTCCCTAGCATTTTCCCCCTGCTGTTTTTGTTATTGCCCTGGTTTGTAATAACGAGGGGGTCGGAAAGTGATATTTTATATGAGTGGGAACCAGAAATGTTAATAACAACCTATGTACATAACCGAAAAAGTTCATTTCCCAGTCAGAGCCAGCACGAAATGCCACCTCCGTCACTTCATATTTCATTACGGAAGCTACCCAGGGTTCCTCGGAGCCATTTGTTATGCCTAATGCTCATAACTACCCAAAAGTATTTTTAACTTTTCCAGAGCCTTAAAAGTCAATTTCAATCTCAATGCATATTTGTCACTGACAGAAATACTTTGGAGGAGAGAACCAACCGAAATAGGTTGCAGCTCCGCCTCTCTGGGAGGGATCTCGCAGGATCTGAAGACAGGCCAGAAAGTTGAACCCTGGGTGGAGCGGGCCCCAGAGGAGCTGATATCCCCTAGCCTGTGCCTGCCTTTGCCCTTGTCGGCCTTTCCCCCACTTGCGGACATCTCAGAACAACAACACATGGTACACAATCATAGACAAACTTTAATAGACAGAGGTTGGGGGAAAGGTGGAAATCGACAGCCATTTTTAATTTTATTTTATTATATACCCTTGTTCTACACCTATATCTGGGAGGGAGGTATGAAGCATCTAAGGTTCACATTATCTGGTCAGCAGGGGAAGCCAGCACACGTGTTCAGAGTTCTTTTCCTCTAGTCCAAGCATCCCCAAGATGGGCGAGATGAGAGGGAGAACTTCAGAAAAAGGACCTGGGGTGGGGGTGTCCAAAGGCCTCCCAGGGTTTATCAGCTTGAAAAGAAAGTGATAGGGACAAGCCACGGGACAAGTCATGAGCGGTGAATGAAATCAAGGACAATGCACACAGACAGACATCCATTCCTAGGCCAGGCTGGGGGAACCAGACACCTGTGGCTGAGAAACACTAGCTGTTTTGGAACGAGTTTGGCTATCATTTGGGCATGAAGCTGTCCCTGTAGCTCAGTCACCTTCCTGAAAGCAGAGGGAGAGACCCATGTGCCTACTGCCAAAGCATCACGGAGACGCAGAGGAAGAGCGCTATCATGAATTCATTCCCAAAGGCCTGGCCCTCGCCGGATGTGGGCAGTGCTAAGAATGTCCCCTCTACACGGAGGGGAAGATTCTTCTCTCCAGAGGAGGGTTTACTCATACCCATGGTATCTTGTACACTCCTGCTATAGAAGGGTCACTTGAACAATGCTTTCTCCTTTTTACTCATTTCTAATGACAGATGTGAGCTGGAAAGAGAATGTGAAAAACACCTTCAATTCAATTCAACGTTGCCACAAATTTTCCTTTCAAGGCAAAGAGTGTCTAGAAGAGGAAGGGCTTGACAGCACCGAGGCAAAGCACAGCCAGTTGGGAGCTAGATTACCCTGGGCCAGTTAGTTAATATCCTGCCTCAACACTCTGATCTGTAAAATGGGATCTAAAGTGTTATGGAATTAGGGTGACGATGTGAAACATCCAGAGCCTGGCCAACAGTAAGAGCTTTATATATGTTCAGAAGTTCAGAGATACCCATTAGCCCATCAGTGGCTGGGGCCCTTCTCTGAGTCACAATCAGAGAGGAGATAATTAGAGCCACGCAGCTTGGTGGGGACACAGAATCCCGTTCCTACTGTTAAGTATGGGTTTGTGTCCACCTTAGTTCTTACTCATGGAGTAAGATACAGACTCTAGCACCAAACCACAACAAAGTCTACTGGTTATACCAGGCCCAGGATTATCAAGAAACAAATTAAAGAGAAGGTGCCAAGATCCCTCTCTCTGTGGTCAGAGACAGCCATTGTCTGCACAGACCTCTCCCGGCCTCTGAAATGGCAGCAGATGAAGAGCTCCACACCTCCATGGTAACTGTGGGGGTCCAAGGTTACGAAAACAGGTTGGAGATCAGGTTTCACCAGGATCTAGGTCTAAGTATTCATGAGGAGTAAGAGGTGGGGTCAGAAGGAGTCCCAGTTCAAGGTCTCAGACCCATGTTAGTTCCACCTGTTCTCACGCTTACATTCATTTCAAATGAAGTGCATGCCAAGAGAGGTGCTGGATTAAAGTCGTGAGCAGGATGACTCACCCTTTGCATTAGCTACCACTCGGTGACCTGGTGCTGGGACTCTCCCATGAAACAAGGGGGCCTATGCCTTAGATGCACTTGTCTTCTTCAAATGGGAAGTTGGAACCCAGCTGTCACCCTTGGAGTCACTTGAGAACTAGACTTGGAGCAGAGTGACTCCATTTGCATAGGATTTGTGGATACTCCCAGCATGGCCCCTGTGGGTTTTTCTAAAGCCCTGTCGCCATGCCCCTGACTCCTTCAGGATTCCCACCCCCTTCCCCCTGTGCATTAAGACTGGGAGAGGTGGGTCTGGCAGGCGCGGTGATCCAGAGCAGAGAAGAGTCCAGCGGTGGCGGCGGTGGCGGCGGGCCATGCTGCAGGAGAGAGCGACGCTTTCCGCGGTGCTTGACAGAACCATGTTCCGTTTCCATCGTTCCACCACATGGTTAGATCAAGCACAAAGGAAAGCCCCGCGGCAACTGGTCAGAGTCAAGGTCAGGAAGCAGGCATCAGAGAGAGGACAGGAGCGCTCAGAGGAAGCAGCGTGGAGAAGTGGAAGCCAGAGCAGGCCCCCACTGAGCGAGATTCGAGCCAGTAGTGCGTTCCACGGGATCCTGCCAAAGACAGGGTGGGGAGGGGCGCCCCCCTGTGCCCTGCCCCAGGGAGACTCAGTAGGACAGAGGACCCAGGAGCATCCCGGCAGATGACATACCACTTACACACTGACCCCATGGAGCCTGCAAAGTCTGCCCCAACCCACCATGTGATCTGATATGACACGAAAATCAGCAACGCATCTTCTCACGCTCTGTGACCCGGGGCTGACCCCACAGCTGAGGGGCCTCGTGGCTGTCTGTCTATGCCTTTTCATGAAAGAGATTTCCCATAGTCCTCATCAGTCTGACACAGCATAATCTCCTCTCCAGGCAAAAGCTCCCTTTAACATCCCACAACTGAGGAGGCTCCTGAGTACCTTGCAGGGTCCCTGGGTCCCTTGGGCTGATAGCCAGTTCACCCCAGATGGCTTGAGGTGTGGTAGAGGAAGAGTGCAGAATTAAAACCACATATTCTCAGCTGGACAAGGAAAGGAGAGTCAGCGGGGCCTTAGGTTTGAGAACAAGACACCTGCAGTCACCACGTGAACACTGTCACAGAGGTAGGTCAATCGCAAGGACAGTGGGTAGAGGCCGGCTTCCGATAAGGGGCCTTTGTCAGAGTAAGACAAGGAAAGAAAAGGGCTGGAGGAGCAGTGGATTAGCTGGAGGGTAAGATATCTAACGTTAGGGTCTTTCTGATTTCTACATCCCTTTTCTGGCTGGGCATCATGGGAAAGGATGAGGCCGACCCAGTCAGGGGGTCTTGTGTGCCATGGACTCCATCTGTATACCCCATCTTCCATAGGTCAGCCTTCTTCCGACTTGGCATCAGGCTGGAGCTGTGCATATCTCAAAGAAATAGAGTCATAGCCAGGTAGCTGACCGTCCCTGCTTGAGACTTGACCTCTGATAGGAGGGAGAGGTCACTCTCCTCTACCATATGTTTTGGGGGCTGGTTCGTTGCCGAGGTGTTCTCATTCTCAGCATCCCAGTTGCCTGCAATAACGGTCCGGTTAGTACACACTCGTGTCCATGCCTGGCCCCATCCACAGCTCTTCCCCCATCCTGATCTCACAGACCTACAGCTGGGAATGGTAATGTGGGCTCCACTGCGGCTAGACATCCAGAGCTGCAGAGCTCTTGAATACTCTGGCTCCAAGATTTCTCCTGTGAGTTTGAGCAGGACCTCAGTGTGAGCAGGGCCCATTTCACAGATTTTAGAACCTCCTTGTGTGGCTGGGAAGATGGGCCACAGGTAAAGCCATGTGCTACACCAAGCCTGGTGACCTGAGTTTGATCCCCAAGCTCCACACAGTGGAAGAACAGACTCCTGGGAGCTGTCCTCTGACCTCCATACTTCTGCTGTTTTATGCTGCATGCACAGCACACATGTACGTATGTACATACATACATACATACATACGTACGTACACACACACACACACACACACACACACACACTCCACAAACAAATAAAACATAATTTATAAAGTCCCTCCTGGACCTTCTCCTTGCTTTGCTTCTCTATAGGGACTCGGAGGGTCCCAAAGGCAAATGATCTGGGATCTTCCTAGTATGCTAAAATCATCATAGCATTAGTGGTCATGTCTAGAAAATGATAGCCTGAACTTGGGGTTTTTCTGCTGTGGTTCTCAATTTTGTCTCAAGAGTGGACTGGATGAACTCTGAGGTTTCTAAAGTGTCCCTGAGCTGTACCCAAAGAGTACTGTACTTTAAGAAGCCATTCTTACAGAAACAAAGGGGGGCAGCCTGATAGAAGACAGGCAGTGTCCTTCAGCTACCAAGTGCTCCCTGGGGTGGGGCCTTGCTGAAGGACTTAATCGGATCTGTTAGATCACCCCTGGTGGGCAGCATCCACCTCTAAACTGATCTTGGTCCAGGGCGGTGGATGCAGCTGATAGAGGCAGAGCAAGGTGGCTGGGAAGCCAGACGCCCTACCCAGGGAGAGGCTGTGCATGTTGCAGAAGCAGCCCTCAAATTGGCTCCTAATCACATCAGCTGTCTTTTCAAGGGGGCTGCTTTTAGGGGAAAGTAAAATGCAGAGTTATTATCTGTCAGCTCAAGTCCATGTCATCTGCCACTCCTCACCCCTCCCCTTTCTGGAGCTTCCTAGAAACACAAATCTTCAGGCCTATGGTTTCTGTATCCCCCAAGGGCAAGGGAGGTATGGGTCCTGGTGTTTCTCAAAGCCAAGGCTTTTGGAGTTCAGTGGCCAACCTCTCTGCTCCTCCCCTACAGCTACATAAAAGCATACCAAATGCTCCAAGTCAAGCTCATTTGGATTCTGGACATCACTGCCTCTACAGGAATAGGCTTTCTGCTTAGTATTTTTTAAAGTGATATTTTAGACAAAGTCAACTCGAGAATTCTGTCTTCTTCGCCCTGTTTCTTTTTTCTTGCCACCCATTTCCGCCCCTCATAGGAAGCCAGGGCCCTGTAAACACCAAGGTAGACAGGTAGCTGCCGGCACAGCTAACTGAAAACTAGCTTTATTGTTTCCTAGTTCCGCTGTCTAGTTCTTGTTTCCCACTCTGTTCTTTCTGTAAGCATCACCCATACCTTGCTACCTGTCCCAGGCTCAGTCAATGCTAGGTCACCGCCATCACTAACTCTATAGGGCACATGTCATTGGATCCAATGTTGACTATATCCCTGTACCGCCACCCAGGGTTTAGATGCAACCTGAGGTCCTGGTTACGGGCAACACACTCGTGAGACTGAGGGTCAGGGAGGGCAGGTGGCTTCCTGCCCTCCTCCGACTTCCTTCATCCTTTCCATGGGAACCACTAACTGGCCAAGCTAGTTACCTCAGACCTGAGCAGGCAAAGATGAAAGAGGGAATACCACTGGGGGTTGTCATGAGGAGAGCCTTGGCAAGGGCTGGTCTGTGATAGATGACACTTGGTGCTGGGGGGAGACTTTCTACCCAGAGATGCCACCAGACCTCGGGAGGAATCTAAGAAAGTGTTTGGGGGTTAGAAGTGGATCCAAGAGACTAGGAAGAAAGCAACTCAAAGCAGTTGGACCGCCTTCCTCCTAGATATTGAACAGTGTCAAGGAGAGAGGGATGTGGAGCCTGGTCCTGACCCTATTGCCGGTGACTGTGATGTGCGGGTGGCCCTTCCCCTTTAGCCCTCGGCTCTCCGCTGTAGAGCAGGGTCTCATCTGCTGACTTGAAGCAGCTACCAGAAGAAGCAAGTCAAATTAGGACCACTCCAGCACTGTGCCCCTCCAAGGAAGTCATCTCTCCAGTCCCTATGCTGGGGAAGGCAAATGGGCAACCAGTGATCACCCTACCACAAAGTCCCTGCATCTCTCTAGACCCTCTCCAGCCATTTGCCTCTGCAAATAAAATAAAAGGCTAAAGTTTATCATGCTGGTGACACATACGACAGAATTTGACTTAAAGCACAAAGAACATGGTACAAGAAGCCAAAATCCGCCTGCTGGTCTGCTGATGGCCAGTCCCCATGCTGGCATTGTTCCTGGGCTGAGCACTCTCTTGAGATAAGTGGGAGCACGGTTCTTGCCCAGACACACCCTGTCAGGGCTGGCTCACCCTATCTCAGGACCTCCTGCTGCTGATGGTTTATCAGCTCGGGCGAGCACAGCTCTGCTCTTTTTCGGTAGAAAAAGAGAAACTGATAACAATGTCTAATTGCTTGCAGCCACTGGTCAAGGAGACCACCTTTCTTGCCAAGGTGGGCTGTGAATTCTCTTGCCACTTGTCTCCATGTTCTTCCGGGTGTCGGGGGGAGCAGGGAGGAAGGCAGTCCCTAGACAAGAGCTGGCCATGGGAGCTCAGGCTTTGCTTCTTCCCACAGCTTGCTGTTCCCTGTATCATCAGAGAACAGCCATCTGCTTCAAGGAGATAGGGAAGGTGTTTGTGAAACCTGTAACCCAACCCATTATGGTTGAGGGCTGTATTAAAGCCTGGCTGCGGCCTGGCCCGGGCTGTATAATTTCTGTGCCATTTGGGGAATCTGCTTCAGAGACTACAAAATAAATCTTGGCCTCCTCTCAAGCAGTGTGTGTGAAGGCTGCCCTGTCTCCCAGCTTCCACCAAACTCTGGGAGGGAGGGAAGACAGACTGTGCCTGGGTTCTGTTTTCCCCAAGCTGCCCGTCCCTCCCCCACCATGCTTTTATTGTGTGAGTGTGTTTTATTTTAAATCCATAAGGTAATTGGTTTTCTGTAGGGCTAACTGAATTTCCCCAATTTAATTTGCAAAGATGCTCCCCAGGAGCCATTACAGCGCTCGCTGGCCTCCAGATTGGATTATTGGCCTCTCTGGGGCTGCTGTATTCTGAGTCAGAAAGTGGGGCCCCACTCCAGTAACCTGATTACCTGAGCAGCGGAACTTCTTGCTTTTGATCTGGCTGATGCGCTTGTTGGCCAGCCGGCGTGGGCCGCTGCAGCGGGCCCCGCTGGTCTCAATGGGGTTGTCCTGAAGGTAGTCAGCCAGCCACTTCAAGTGGCAGTCGCAAACAAATGGGTTTTGAGCTAAGTGGCTGAAAGAGGGACAGGGCTGTTAATCGGGAGTGACCTGCGGCACCTTGCTTCACCACCCCCCTTTCCGAGCTGGGCCCTAGCAAACTGGTGTGGAAGCCTTTTCTTCCGCTGCCCCAGGAGGTCTGGAGCGGGTGCTGCTCTCAGAGAGGATTCAAAGAGGGGGTCTGAGGCCAGCTGTCTGCCCAAGGCAGACAGATGCAGCCAACATCTGGTCTGGGCAATCAGCCTCCCAGTTCTCCCCCTCTGGGGGCAGGACCCACTACTGACTGGCTCCACTTCACCCATGCCGACTCTGATGGGCAATGCCAGTCGGGAACTTTAGAGTTGGCACGTACAGTAGCATGCATTTTAGTCCTCCAGGCTTGGTGGTACCAGCCACATAAGGCAGCAGGCACAGCGCCTGGCTTCTTAGGGGGGTGTTCCATATATAGGTAGTGGGGATTGTTGCTAGTCTCCTTATCACCAGGGGAGTGCTGTGGGCGTCGCCCCCTCTGAGCAGTAAGAAAACTCCACAGCACTAAGCATGGATGGAGCTTCACACTGTGGTCGGCATTCAGTAACAAGCAGCTGTTCTCAGTCTATATGGGGCCCTGCTTCTCACTACTAGGAAATAAGTACCAGCTGACTTCCAGGGTCTTCAGGAGACCCCCAGGCTCATTGCAGGCCTGGAGCTGGGGCTGAAATCTGAGGTTGGAACTGTCAAGACCACAGACTGAGATCTGTACTCATCTGTTCACCGGCAGTATTTACACACACCAGCAATCCTTGGGAGTTGAGGGCTGTGTGCGTGTGTGTGCGTGCGTGCGTGCGTGCGTGCGTGTGTGTGTGTGTGTGTGTGTGTGCGCGTGTGTGCGGGCGTGTGTGTGTGTGTGTGTGTGTGTGTGTGTGTGTGTGTGAAATCCCCAGAAAGCCTGTATCAGAGGCTTGACTTGGCAGAGTGCAGGAAGCTGCCAGAGGGAAGGGATGGGGTCTCCCCAGAGATAGGGACTGCTTAGAACACTGCCATGGCTACTGTGGTTATGAGCACAGCTCGAAAGTTCTACCAGGATTCAAATCCTGCTTCGTACTGGCTGTGACCTTGAGTAAACTACTCACTGTCTCAGTGCCTTGGATTCCTCACATATAATCTGGGGGTGACAGTGACCCCCTCCCGGGTTGCTGCGAGGTTTACATGTTTGAAAGTGAGATGTCCCCTCAGCACGGCCAGGCCCCACCGGAATGCTCAACACAGTTCAGTGCTTTGCACTTCATCTCCCGCCCCTGCTGCAAGCGCTAGAAATCCTCCCATGGGGCCTCAGCCTACCCTCGGTTTGGTGGCGGGGGTCTGCAGCTGCCAGGGCAGGCAGTGTACTCACAGGGTCTGGATGGACTGCAGAGGAGCGAAGAGCCCCTTGCTGATGGTCTGCAGCTTGTTGTCGTACAGAGAGAGCAGGTTGAGGTTCTGCAGGTCCTGGAAGGTGTTCACCCGCAGGCAGTTGATCTTGTTGGCATTGAGGAGGCTGCAGGCAGAAGAGAGGCCTCCGGTCATTGCCAGGGGGAGCAAGGGCCGGCTGCACCTGCTGGTACCGCTGGAAAGTAGCCATCGCTCATCAACATGGCTTGAGGTTCTGCTGCAGCCCAGAGAAAGAGAGACTGCTTCCGGTGGCTTCCGAGTCCCTCCTCACTTCCCCTAGCACCATGGATGCTGTGCTACGCATCCTACCAATGCCTGCACCTGGCCTTGTACCTGCAGCCCTAGACAAAGGCTAGGAGTAGAGTCCAGCATTGTATTTTTCTACTTTAGAATTCAGAGCTTCCAAGAATCACAATGGGGAAAAAATCATTTGGCACAATCATGGTTAAAGCTCTAGTAGATGGAGTCAGGGCAATTTTTGATTCAGAGAATTCCTTGGAGCTTGTTTGGATCACTTATTTCATTGGAAATCTGATCAAAGTTATAGGCCATCCTCCCAGGGGAGAAATGTGTCCATGTGTAGGCACACACACACACACACACACACACACACACACACACACACACACACAAACAAACACCTTCCTTGTCTTTATCATAACCTCATACCTTCTTCTGTTGTGGAATAGAATATTTGTTTAACTACATAAAGATGTGTTACATTTGTGTTGTGAATAATTGTTTAACTATGTAAAGGTGTGTTGCATCTGTTTCACCTTGCCTGCCTGAGGCATCTGATTGGTCTAATAAAAAGCTAAACAGCCAATAGCTAGTCTAAGGCACCTGATTGGTCTAATAAAAAGCTGAACAGCCAATAGCTAGGTAGGGAGAAGAGGGCTAGGCAGGGCTGGTGGGCAGAGAGACAAGGCCAGCCAGCTGAGGGCTAGCCAGACACGGAGGAAGCAGGGAAGCAGGATGGACAGTAAGTAGATGAGGTAAACAAGCCTCAGGGCAGCACACAGGCTAATAGAAATGGGTTAATTTAAGTTTAAAAAAAAAAAAAAGCTAGCTAGAAACAAGACTAAAGCTAAGACTGAGCGTTCACAATTAATAATAAGTCTTTGTGTCATGATTTGGGGGTGGGCAGTCCAAGAAAGCCTGCTATATTCCCCTGCTCCAGCCCCACTGGTCACCTGTTGCTCTCAGGCATGCCATGGCTGGTCCTCTGAACCCTTTCTCTACCCCTTTTCAGAAAGGCTGGCCTCTTAGCTCAAAGGCATCCCCTCAGGGAGGCCTGCCCCAACCCTCTCACCCTCCTCAGGGAGGCCTGCCCTGACCCCCTCACCCTCTTCAGGGAGGCCTGCCCCGACCCCCTCACCCTCCTCAGGGAAGCCTGCCCCGACCCCCTCACCCTCCTCAGGGAGGCCTGCCCCGACCCCCTCACCCTCCTCAGGGAGGCCTGCCCTGACCCCCTCACCCTCCTCAGGGAGGCCTGCCCTGACCCCCTCACCCTCAGCAGGACCCTATAATTCCAGTATTGCTTCTCATGCCCTATACAATTCCTCCCTGCCACTCACCTCAGCCTGTGACTGGAGGATATTGGTTAGTTTTCTTGTTTGCCATGTGTGTAACTTGTGGTAACACAAATGTCATCTCTTCAATCCCTCCCTTTGTTACTAATGATTATCTTTCATTAGGACACACAACCCAGCTCCAACAGGGATGTCTCCCTGAAGGGAGCTCTGATTCGGGTTCGGCTTTCCTACCCACAAGCGGCCCTTTCTGTTACGATCATAGTTTCTCCTACTGTCCCCTCCTTCCCAGAACAACACAGGAAGTGGGTGAACCACTGGTCCAGCAGACGCCCCGAGTGCCACAGGTAAGATTCAGAATGCAGAGCTGCTAAGTTATGAACAAATCTGGGTGCTGAGCATTTATTTCCCTTATAGCTCGAGACTGACTGGTTGTGCCCTTGAAACAATGGTGAAACCATTCCTCATTCCTTCTTGAACGAGAGGGAAAGAAACCAAAGAGTAAAGATGTTGAAGTTTTAAACATCAGTTCTCAAGGCAGGCTCAGAGCAAGTAGCTCCCTTGGTGGTGAATGACCCGGGATTCAGGAGTGTCTCCGTACCCCAGACTGTGAGCTGGTGTTACTGGAGCTGCCCCTGGGTGCCCCCTCCCTTGCAGTCCCCTGCGCGCTCCAGGTGCTGGCAGGCAGCTGTGGCCCTGACAAGCAGAAGAAGAACTGCCTGTTTAATCTGGCTAATAACAGGCAAGGTCCCGAGGGCCCACACAGATGTCCTCCTGCCTCAGAGTGGAAAAAAAGCTCACGTTGCTAGAATGCTCTTTGTTTTCCGAAGTGCTTTTACTGTTACTCCCCTGTTACTCTCACAGTAACCCGGGCAGATGGGCAGAGCCGCCTCGCAGTTACCGGCGAAGAGATTGAAGCCGAGTCGGAGGGCTTTGCTCAAGGTCAGGAGAGTTTCCGGGGAGCGTGCTGGGAGCCATTATGATAACCAGGTCTCTGGAGGGCTCAGCCGCTTCTTTATGAATGCCTTATCTACCCCGCCCATCTGCCCATCCCTCTATAACCCCCTCCCAATTTCCTGTGATTTCTGTATTAAATTGCAGTCAAGGTCATTCTAGGTGGGGGACATTGGAAGGGAGCTGCAATATGAACAGAGTAACAGCCTAGCAATCAGGTCAGAAGCGGATCTTTCACACACAAGCTTTTGTTTTATATTTAAATTTTTAATTTGTTAATGAATGAAAAAAATTTTGGGGACACAGGGTCTCACTATGTGGCTCTGGCTGTCCTAGAACTCTCTCTATAGACCAGGCTAGCCTTGAACTCAAAGAGATCCGCGGGCCTCTACCTCCCCAGTGCTGGGATGAAAGGCGTGTGCCACTATGCTTGGGTATTTTATTTTATTTATTAAGTAATTGGTAAACAACTTGTTCTAAATATTGATATTCGAGGCCTCTGAGAGCACCATAATGCCAGAAATGTTAAACTATTCCATAAAGATACCAGGATGGCTTAGCCAATGGCCTGAGGATCCCCTCTTCCCTACCATTTTACAATAAGACTTCTCTATGTATCAAAAGTTAGAAGTGTTATGAAACACACACACACACACACACACACACACACACACACACACACACACACACATGCACACACACGCATGCACATTAGATTTTTGCTTTTTCTTGGAAAACAAATTTCAAAACCTCTGGCGATGATTCCAGTGCTAGCAGCTGTGGACACACTCACGGGCCAGACGTATACTCTCTGCCATAGTCCTCACTCCTCTCTATGCCCCTCACCCCACCCCCTCAAGCTTCCTTTTAGACTTGACACTTTGGTCCAGATTCGTGAGCCCAACAGCAATAATACTTGGTTCTGGGAAGTATTTGAATCAGACAAGGAAGATGGCTCTGGAGACGGAGAGGCAGCAATTCTGGCTCGCCTGGCGAGTTTATCTAGACTGAATGGATCTTGGCAATACTCCTTACCCACCAGGTCCAGCTTGGCTCCCTTTGCTCGTCTGGACGCTTCTCTGTCTCCTATGGCTCCTAGATAGCTCAGCATGGGACGTTCTTTCAAAGAGGTGAAATAGCAAGACAACCCAGGCTGGCAGAATTACTAGGCAACAGCTCAAGGTGCAGAGCTCATGAAACGGGGGCCAGAAGAAGACAGAGAAGGCCACAGTCTCTTGGACACTCATCCTCTACCAGCTGCTCGGCTCCCCCGGGCACAACGAGGCGGTGTCGGGAGAGATAAAATTAAGCTGCTTATGAAGAATTAGATGCTTCGGACGGCCTTCTGAACTTCAGCCCCAGCAAGATCTAGCAGCTTGCCTCTGTTCTTTCTCTTTTGGGGGAAGAAGACTGGCAGCTACTCAAACTCCGTCTGGCTTCCATAAAAGGAGCTCGGAGCTGTCTGGTCCACGGGCAAGAGATGAGGGCATTTGAAAAGCACCAAAGGATGGAGCGAAAAAAGACTATAGGCTCAGTACCCCTTATCTAAAACGTTTGGGACCAGAAGTATTTGGAATTTCAGACTGGGGAATATTTGTGTATGTATAATGAGAGATCTGAGGGAGCGGACCCAAACCTATCTTCATTTATGTTTCATATACACCTTATAATCAAGGCCTGTAGGGCTTTTTCTATGATGATGTTTGCATGCTGCTGGGTTTTGTTGTTGTTTTTGACTGTGTGCTCCGTCGCAGGAGGTTAAGTGTGGAAATTATGTACCTGTGGTGTCATACAGGTGATCAGAAAGGTTCAGATTTGGAGTGTTTTGGCTTTTGGGGTTAGGGATGTTCAAAATGTATCTGCAATGGACTTTAGTGATTAGAGGATGGACATGGGCTTCCCTTGTTGGCTAGTTTTAAGACTCCTTGGAGTAAAGACCTCCACAATATTTGATCTGATTTGGTTCATTTTCCTTTGAGGTGCGGTAATGTAAGTGCTTTTAGAAATGATGGCAAGAAGGGTGAGTCAACATCGAGGCCACACCTATGTGCCAAATATTTCCCACACAAGAGCATTGAGATCACCTTTGTTTTTCTGATGAGGAAACTGAGGGTCAGAATGATGACAGGCTTGGTCAAGTTACCCAACAGTGAGTAAAACCTCAGCCTGTGTGACTGCAAAGCTTGTCTCCCATCCTCTACCTAAAATCTATGTGCATTTTCTCTTGTCTGCATTCCTTATCTCTGGTGCACGCCTAGCTTGGCTAGCCTTGAGGTGTATGGGGTACACTTTGGGTAGACAGAGGTCTGGTTGGGTCTAGAAGACCCTGCTTGTCTCTCAGGAGTGGAGAGGCGTCTCAGCTTGGGATGTTCACTACACCGTTAACGGATACAAGGTGGCAGTTTCTATGTCCACTGATAGGTAAGCGCTGGTGAGGGAGATGGTGTGTGTGGCTCTTTATTCTCCTCCCTGTGAAGCTTCCCTGAATTCTGGGACGACCGGGAGACAAGAGCATCCTCTACACTTGGGATGTTCACAAGCCTCATCCCAGGGTCCTCTCTCCCAGCAGAAAACACGGACCGCTCTGTGCATAAGTGTCTCCAGACACTCCAGAACCAAC